TGGCTAACTGACAGTCTCAATGTAATTGTAAATGGGGAATTATCATTGAATGGATGTATTTCTAGTGGCATCCGGCAGGGATGATTTCTTGGCCCTATGCTATTTAACATCTTTATCAATTACCTGGAAAAAAAACACAAAATCATTAACCGCAGTCAACGTTGTGCCCCCAGAAGAAAGGAAGAACATGATCCAGTGACTCATCACCACCACTTCCTCTAAGACCTTCATGTCCTTTGGCATTCTCCCAAACAAGTACTGACTGGGTCTAACCCTGCTTTGCCTCTGAGATCACAAAGCAAGATTGTATGGAGGCCTACTCTGGTCTTGTGATTGGACCCAGCCATCATATTACAGTGTCACAGGTGCTGGCCACTAGGACCTCACTACCCTAGAGATCGCTGTCCCGCTCTCCCAATGAATGGAAGATGAAGCCCTTGAATGAAACTCATGCATACAACACGGTAATGTAAAACCATTGGCAGAGAATAAATTACCATCTCTGCAGAGCGAAAACGTGAGAAAATGAAAACGTGATACTTATTTTAATACCATGTATTTTAAAATTTAATTTAAGAGACCAGCTGTTTCAGCTTCTCTTATAAGACCTTAATTGGTATATAATAGCATAGTTAATTAAATACAAATCAATAGTTTAAAACAACTAATTGATATTTAATATGTATGGGAAAAAATAACTTAGTTGTAATATAATTAACTCAGTATTAAATAAGCAATGGAATTGCAATTATGCCTTTACACTGATTATAAAGTTTATTGTTCTTTAATAAACTTGCAATTAGTCAGGATGAGCTGGAAAAATTATTAAACAGGTATTATTGGGCTATTAAACATTTATTATCATTCCTGGTGGGATACAGCTACACAATAGTACATAGGATGATCGTGCTAATAACCCTTTACTACTCCTTTGCTCCAGCCTTTAGTATGCTAGTTGATCAGAAACCTTGCTCCCTGCATGATTTATGGGTATTGTAATTGCCTTGAAAGGAGGTAATTAAATTGCAAATGAAAGTGAGAAAAAAATCTGATGAGGAAAAGCAGGAGGCTTCTGTAATTTGGCACAGCAAAGCGACAGCTCCTCTTCTAAATCACATGTGTCATCTCCTGCCTCTCACGTTATTCCCTGTAGATTCCAACTTCAGTCAACACCATATATTTTTCCCACCTGAATTCCCCTTCTGGCTTTCAGTTAGTAACTTATTCTTCATTTCCTAACCCTAAAACTGCTGCGTGGCAATGTTGGGGCCATTACAAAGATGGCCATCCCCACCCCAGAGGCAGCTGCATTTTGGTGCTCGTTCAAATAATCTTCGTTATTGCATAAGTGAGGAGTGAGTGTTAGAGTTGTGGTCGCATTCTAATTTCCACTCTAGCAACCCCCTCCGTGCCAGTCTTTGATCTGACCTTTTCTGTTCTTTGTCTCCATTTTTATAAGAAGGTCTGTGATGAATCGGTGTAGTTGCTTTTGAGTTCATCAAAATGTGGAAAAAATCGACACGCCTCAAGATATATTCCAAATGAACTATTTTGTTTCACCCAACACAAATGACCGAGATGGGAAATGTCAGACGAGACTTCTTTTATAGTTCTCACAGAGGGAGAGAAATTAAGCCACATGGGAAGAAAATGTGGATTGTTGGATAGTTTCAAAGTTAGGGGATATGGACACAGGTGCGTTACAACCTTTTTCCAGTGGGATTGTTGCAGTGCCCTGATGCCAGAGGATTTCAGATGTTGGATGTGTGCTTAACTGTCTTAGCCGTCCTTTGCCATTAGCCACTAGAAGGGAGTCTACGCTGCATTGTAAACTGGCTGTGGACACAATGCTTCCAAGCCTGAACTTGAGCACCTACTGCAGTTGCCGGACTCGGGTCTCACAGCCATGCTAGTGCTCCCATACTGCACTACACAGACCTTCTAACTCCGGTTTGGGGCTTGACCTGCGTCCACACTGCAAAATGACACGGCTTGGACCCGAGTCACATTGGGACTCGGCGCTGACCCCCCCCCCCCAGCAAGGTGCCAGGATCCAGGTCCTGAATGCTTGCTGACCTGAGTCAGACAGATCTGTGTGTGGACAGAAGTGGGGCTTGGGCTCAAACCTGAGTCAGAGCCCGGGCTTAGTGTGCAGTGTAGACATACCCTGAAGGGTTTGAAGTGGCAAGCAATCTTTAGGCAACTGAGAGCTTAGAGGTCGCACAGAGCCACCTCAAAGCACTTTATCTTTAAAGGTGCTCTTAAGTATTTAAAGGTGCCGTTAGCTATAAAAACTTTATCGAGGTCTCACAAATTTGCAGCATAAATTATTAGAATGCTGTGCTCCTTTCATTTTAGGATCTCAAATGGCTTAATAAGCATTCATTATCATAGCCCCACTATGGGGCAAGCTGGAGATGGAGCCCAGACTGGAACAAATTGATCCAAACTCTGGACAAGTTCTGGTCCAGACCTAAACCTCACAGGTTGGAAGCATCCACCTTTCTGACCTCTTTTGAAGTTCACCTTGTGCTAGTGAAAACACATTCAACAGCAGCAAATGTGTGTGTGTGGGAGGTGTTTGCAGAAAAGAAATATGCAATTGCACTTCAGACTCAGTAACAGAAAAACACTGATTTGTTTGACTCCACAGTGGAACTGACTGCTTTTGTGATTAACCTAATTCTGTTACTTTCATTACACTTTGATAGCATGATGTTCATTGCAGGCTCGATAGGTATCAATAGTATTTTGCTTTCCTATCAATAAAGGCTTAAATGCATCTTGCTTACTTCTATGGGTTTTATATATTTAAACAGTGTTAGAGCTTTTAGATAATTCCATCAGATAAATAGCTCTGTCTTATTTTGGGGGAGAGAGAGAGAAAGAGTGAGTGTGTGTGTGTGTGTGTGTGTGTGTGTGTGTGTGTGTGTGTGTGTGTGTGTTTTCAGCTAGGTGCTACTTTTTCTAGTTGGCACCTTGTATTTGGAAAGGAGCGCTGAGCTATTGAGTTTACAGCTCCTGGGGCTATCCTCCATTTGAAGTCACCAGGCACTAGGGGTGACCAACAGAAGTTAGCAGAAGGCATCTATTATTCCACTAATAACCACCCCGTCTATTTTTTATTTAACTGGAATAGCCCAAATGAACTATATTTGAATATATATATTTTGAACTATATATATGAATTATATTTGCTGAATACGAAGATAGCAATGACCAGCATGGCCTTGGTCTTGTGGTTTGAGCCTGGGACTGGGAGACAGGAGTCCCAGTGTCTAAGCCTCACTGTGCTGCTGATTTACTGTGGAGCCGATCCTGCTCTCAACTGCCAGGAAAGACCCCAATTCAGGAAACCATCCAAGAGCGTGCCGAACTCTAAGCATTGATTTCAATGGGATTATTTACATGCTTAAAGATGGGCAGTTGGTTAAGTACCTTCCTGAAGTGGGGCCGAAGGTAGCGAGAAGTGAAGATTCTCAGCCTCAGGATGAGGTTCTATGTGACATTGGACAAATTGCTTCTGGGCCTGATCCAAAGTCCATTGACGTCAATGGGCGTCTTTCTATTGGTTTCATTGTGCTCTGGTCCAGATCCTCAACGTATTTAGATGGCAAACTCCCTATCAAATCACTTGCAATTAGGCATCTCAATATCTCTGAGAATCCGTGACTTGGTTTCCCCCTTATCATCTGAGGACACTAATGCCTGCCTGCCCAGGGCACTGTGAAGGCCAATCAGTTAGTGCCTGGGAAGGCCTTTGGATACTTGGGTGGTTGGTGCTGCATAAGTGCTCTCTATCACTATGTACCACACGTAAATGAGAAAGGCAATCCCACTGTACCCCTCATGGGCTGACTCTGTGATCCTTACCCAGGTTGCACAAGTCCAATAGGTTTATGCACAGAAGTAAGTGCTGCTCAGCAAGAGCAAAGGTTGACTGTAAAAGGGGGATAATATCGCTTCCCAACCTCAGGGGGGCGATGTGAGCATAGTGCATTAAAGATTGTGAGGTGCTCCAATACTACAGAAGAGGGGGTCTCGTGAGTACCGTAGATAGATTGCTGTGTATAGTGCTCTCTGCTGTAAAGCTCCCAGCACTTTAAGCCATTGCACTTTGCTGTCTTCCCCTTTCTCATACCTACACTGCTTTGTGACATCAGAAGTGCTCTTCTGGTGACAAATGGGAGCTGTATTAAGGGACCACAGAGGCACTAAGTAAACATCAAAGGGGCTTTGATCTGCATGGTTCTGTAGAATGGGGGAGGCCCCCAAAGGCAAGCTGCGGCTGGGACATGGTATCTTAATTTTCTCTACCGTGGTACAGGAGAATTTCTTTGAAGAACGAGGGCTTTTTGTTGTGTGGCGAGATAGACACGTGGGGAGAAATGCACACACACACACACAACGCACTTCTGGAAAATCCATGCTGAGAACTGCTTCTCTGCTTTTTACTGATAGTCAGTCACCCCCTGTAAGAAATTGAGGGATCAAAGCAACAGGCTGCCTGGGGCCTTGGCATTGTGCCACTGTGAGGGCCAGCTGTTTGTTTTGAAAGGGCAAGAAGCCTCAAGTCAGGTTTATCTCTCCTTCACGACCCTACATTATATTTTATCACACAGTCTGCGGAGCGAAAGGGATTAAGAAGCTGAGTCCTCGTCACTGCTGCACGTTATGGAAGGGCAGAGACACACAGTACATTGCACCCAGCATAGAAGCGGCAGGAGAGGCAAGCACCTGAGAGATGGGATGCGGAGGGAATGGCTTTCCCATTGGGGATGGGACGCTCAGACCCTTCTCTGGAGAAACTGTTCAATCTGCTTTCGCTGGCCACTCCCTTCTTGCAGAGGAGACCTCCGCCTTGACAACCCCTTTGCATTGCACTGATGGCGGGGTCGGCAGGCGACACCCCCTTTACCCTATCCCACCCACCGTGGGCACCTTTGGCTCTCTCCTGGCTGGCCTGCCAACTAATGTGGTTGTCGCTCTTTCACTTTTAGAACTGGGTCTCCCGAGAAGAGGATGCTGCCTCGTGCTGGGGTTCATGTACAAGGAGAAGTATCGGAGAATGACTGAAGGTAAGTGACTGCCCCACATGCCACCGGGCTCTCCCCACAACCCCTCACTTCTTGTACTTCCCACCTCTGCCAACTTTCTTTGACAGCTTCTACTTCTCCCCATCTCTTTCCCCCTGCCCCCCATTATTATCCCCTCCTCTCCTTTTATTCCCCTTTCCCCCACACGTCTTCTCTCCCCCAACCCCTTCTTCTATCAACCCTTCCCAGAGCAAGTCTCTAGATGAAGGATACAAATGCTTTCTACCATGTGTGTTGCTATGAATAAGGGGAAAATCCTTGTCCCCTCCTCAATAAGAACAAAGATTCCTGACAGCAGCAAAACCAGAGCCCCTGCATGACCCAGTACAGGAGAGCGGAGGGAGGACCAGTAGAGAAGCACTCCACAGATCCACCGATTGCGCTCTCTGCCCCATGGAGAGGACATGCAGGTGCCACGTGGGCTGGTGGAGTTCTGAGACTGCAGAAGCAGCCACCAGATGGTTTGCTGCTGTTCCACATAGAGCTTGTGAATAATGGATTTTTCAGTCCCCTGGCAATTCCAAATAATCAGGGGAGGGGGAAATCATTTTGGATGGAACCTTTTTTTTTTTTTTTTTTGTGGCAAAACAAAAATCAAACAAAATATTTTTTCAGGTCAAATGAAATGTTTCATTTCAATTTTGACCGTTTTTCATTCCTTTTAAAAATAAAATTAAAGAAAGTCACTTGGAACAGAAGAATTAAAACGTTTCATTTTAAATATGTTGAATCAGAATGTTTTGACTTTTTTGGAATTTTTTTAGGGTTTTTCCTTATTGAAACAATTTGGCAAACCAACATGAATTCGTGAAATGTTTTGGTGTTGCCGAATCTGCATTCTTCATTGAAAATTTTTTTTTTTTTTTGGCTACACACTGGCATCAGGATTCATTACACTGTGTCTCCTGAAACCCAAACTGTGACAATCTTTAGCCCTTACCGAGGCTTACATGTGTTTTGAGTCCATCAAGGGCCTGATCCAGTGCTGACAATGACAAAGCTTCTACAGATTTCCATGGATCAAGATTTCTTTTCTGATGTGGCAATCCAGTCTAGGAGTGAGACTAGAAAAGCGTGAGAGGGGTGATATGAATTCTAGTCCCAACTCGACCACTTACTCACTGTAACCTTGGACATGTCACTTTACCTCTCTATGCCTCAGTTTCCTATGTATAAAATGGGACACTTTCCCTTGCCAAGAGATGCTGTAGTGATTAATCAGTGTGTGTAAAAAGTACTTCCCTTGTGGAAAAGACAGTAAGTGTGCTTAGTATTTTTTATTTTATTCATACACGTGAAAGCCTGTCCATAAGATGGCTGCTCTTCGGGGTAGCATAAGGACTTCTGACTTAGGAGAGCTGGGTTCAAATGGGCAAATCATTTCGGATGCAATTTTCAAAAGTGCCTAAGTCCAACTTTCAAAAGCAACAGGCTAAGTTTCATTGAAAGTCAATGAAATTTAGGATCCTAAGGTCCGTATCTTCAAAGGTATATAAGTGCCTAACTCCCATGGAGATCATAGGGGAGTTAGGCACCAAACCTGCTCTGGTGCTTTAGAAAACCCCATCCATCCACATATGTAGGTATCTAAATACCTTTGAAAATCTGATCCTCTGTGCCTCAGTTCCCCATCTTAAATTGGGGCTAATATTGCCTCCCAGTGAGGATGGCTTCTTTAATGCGTGCGAGGTGTTTGCACACTGCAAGAACCCAGAGAGACATGTAAAGTGTTGTTATATATTCCATCCATCTCCAAAGTGCTGTACTATCAATGGGTAATCCATCCAAAAATGATGAATAATTATGAGTCAAAATAATTAAATAGTAAAAAATATTTACACTCAGAAGAGTGAACATCCCAATTTCTGGCAACTTCCACGCTTGAGTTGTTTGTGAAGCAAACCCCAGGACAGGGGCAGCCGCACTGCAGCACCTCTGTGTTTTATGCCAGGTCAGAGAATCAACAGAGAGGGATTCCTAAAGTGTTCCTAAAGCAGCACTAAACGGGAGATTCGTGTCAAATGCACAGTGAGGAGAGTTTGGCCATAGTAGGATTACTGCTAGGGAAGGGATGGAACGGGTTGGGTTGAACAAGAACTGACCCAAATCCTCAACCTGCTAACTCGTGTGAAAACGACAAATTGCCTTGTCTTCACTAGGATTTTACCTCGTGTTAGTTACCGTGTGTTAGCTAACACCTTTTCCCATAGTGAAGACTCACACTAAGGGCATACTCTATCGGAGTAAGGGTGGCAGAATCCAGAGCTTAGTTTGCCTGATTTCTGCAATATTTTCATGCCCCTTGGCCTTCCTACTAGTGTCTGGAACCAGAATCAGCAGTGTAGAAACATTCTGAGAGGTATTTGAGGTACAGCGGGATTGTGGCAACACTCGGGAATCTCCTGGGAGAACCCGATCCTGCAGAATCAACCTTCCTCTGGATAAGCATCCAACCTCTAGAGAATTCCAGTTATGTTTCTCCCTAATCAGCTAGCTAATTTCAGCGTCAATGTGGTTTTATGTTAGACTAAGAAAAGAGAAATCTGAAAGAACAAAAATAAAGTCTTTGTGAGGGGGAGAGAATGAACACAGTGTATTTGTCTCATTCTGCACAAGCAAATAGCTACCAATGTTTGCAGACAGTAGGCTCCTTAGATTTAAAGATGCAGTAAAATAAAAACAAAGTCATAGGCTTTCCATAGCTACGTACTCCACCATTGATCTATTTGTACTGAAAATGGTCCTGGATGAAAATTCCAGACCCAAACACCCCTAAACTTTGTTGAGTTCCAGATCCAAACTTTGCAGCTAATCTGAACCAGTGTGGACTTCTGAGATCTGGTCATCCTTACTAGAGCAGCTAAGAACCCTTGGTACTTACTTCACTGGTCTACGATTCTGATAGCTTGAGCCAGACTCTTTGGACCAAATACACCACAGGGATACAAAGAGAGATGCTTTGCCTTTTGAATTTTGCCAAATAAAAGATTTTCCTCTTTATTGCATTAGAACGCTAATGAATAGTCCTATTAATAATTATGGGGTGTCCGAAGGAATTAAAAACAGACGCAGACAATGGAGCAATCTGCTAATTATGCATCATGGGGTCTCCATCATCGTGGAAATGGGTAATTACATCCATCACTAGAACCATGCTGGCGCCTAACGGTAATGCTTTTAAAGTGTAGTGCAGCTGTAGTCAGAGAAATGTAGCCTTGCCTACACACAACAGTTGTATCACTTTAACTGTGCTCAGAGGGGTACAATGCCCCCTCGTGTGCTCACAGTTATAGAAGTGCTTATATTAGTGTAGCTAGTCCTGTGCAGGATGGGTATAAGTGCTACTGGTATAGATACTTTTATACTAGAACAAGTGCGTCTACACTAGGGGTTGTACCGACATAACTAAACCAGTCAAAAATTACAACTCTAACTGACATAGTTATACCAGTATGAAATCTGCAGGTAGATCGGGTCTTACTCTTTATCCCCCTGTGTCAGCTCTAGAATGAGTATTCTATGGACTTGTCTGGACTAGAGTATTAATAGTGTTATAGCACATGTTAATTGATTGTCAGTTAACACATGTTAATTAACATGATTGTAAATATGAATGTAGATACTTCTGAGATATTTGTTCCGATCTGACACTCTAGAGTGTCCATGAACACACATTTGTGGAGTGTCTACATTAGCATTTCCAATTGTGTTAGTTAGCATGTGTTAACTGGCAATCAGTTAACACATGTTACAAAAGCTTAAGTCTAGACAAAGTCTTGGTGTCCCGCAGGAAAAGCTGGGAGCTGCAACCCAACATCTGGCATTACAGAATCAAGTTTCAGTGCCCCTAACACTGGTGATGATGCACACGGAAGAATCAAATCCAGCTATATGGGCTCTGATGCACAGGGCAGAAGAGAATCTAGCTCTCTGCCTCCGGCTATGTCAGCTCTGCAAAGCTTATGGCAGTAAAAGCCTGGTTGGATACAACTCAAGGGTGCATGGGGAGCACGAGAAGGTGCCATTCTGACACAGTCACTTTCTGATTGTCCCCACACTCTGATTAACGATCGGGTGTTCTTTGTGCCTGGATCACTAGGTGGCGTGTGGCTCTGAGTTGTAGTGGGGAATTAAGCTGGTGACGGTTGTAGTCAGAGGGAGAGCGCTGAGCTCTCTGTAGTGACAGCCTTGCAATAAAGAAGCGTTAGAGTTAATCCTTTACCATCTGTCTTCATTCTGTTAATAACCCACTCAGTCAAACACTGCAGACTGTTTGTTAACATTCAGAAACAGATACATAATCAAGAGGAATGTGCCATTTAGTCATTAAGGGCCGGATCCTTTCTCCGGCAGAACTCCCCGTTGGCTTCAGCGGAGGTTCTGTCCGAGCACGGACTAGGGGCAGCATTTCCAATCTTGAGCGCATAAAGCCAGGCACCTAAGCCATTGTATGGCATCCAACTGAATGCCCTGCGGCTCAGAGGTTCTGTGCTCTTGCAGCTTGTATTGACTTCCGGCCACTTACTTAGGAGCCATGATACGGACACAGATGGCTGATGTTACGTCCCCAAGTTTCAAAATTTTGGCTTAGGTAATAAGCTCCAGATCTGCTCTAAAATTATAAGAACTGAATCCTCTCGCTCTGTTCAGTCCAACCATCTTCCAAAGCCAAAGGTCTACAGTAAATCCCCAGTTCCGGCAATGAGGGCTCCCTTCAACCCAATGGCTGGTACGTGAAACCCCCTCCTTGGTTACACCAGCAACTCATCCCCACGTCAGGCTGGCATTATTCCCAACTGGCTCCCACCTGCCCCCTTCCTGTACTTTCCTTCCATTTACTTCTCACCGGCCAAAAGTAGAAATTCAGGAGTCTTTTCTGCTCCCTCTCTCTCTTCTCCTGCCTTTGTTGTCTTGCCAGATCTATACCGAGTCATTAGCGGCCGTCGCTGCTGCAATCATGGCATTTTTTGGCTGCCATTCAC